ATCGGCACCAGACGCGGACAATGTATCCGACGGTGACAGCAAGAGCACGGATCTGGCAGCGTTGGGAAGCAGGAAGCTTTCCGTTTCGAGTGCCAGACCTGGTGGAAACAGTAAGTGCTGAATCATGTAGGATGGCACGTGTTCCTTTTTGTTGGAGCAAGACGCCATTGACCCTGTTTCAAAGTGGTTTCCTGGCATTTTGCATTTGTATGCAAAATCGAAGAAACTTGACTTGGCCTTTCAATTGGGTTGCCGTTAGGTTGCTGCCGTCACTGCACCGCTCAAGCCACTGCTCAGCCTTGGGACTGCGTGCCACAAAGAGCCGAAGCATGGGGTTGCGAAAAACCGTTCGCACCGTTGGGTGTGATTTCTGAGCATAGGTGTCCCCTTTTTGGTTGTTTTGGTCGAAAAGTAGACGGGTTTCGATTCCTGGTTTACCTGGTGGTGCAAGATCATCTACCACGGAAATCCGAATCTATTTGCCCTAAAAGGACGCCTATGTTTCTGAGGGAACCCTTGACCAGGTTGGTTAACAGGGAACCGGGCAAACTGCCATAGTTGGGGCCACTGCACGTGTGACACACGCATTTGGAATGAAGCAAGTCTGAGGTGTTGGGGTCAGGAGCATGCGTGTCAAACTCTAGCATGCCGCATGTTGTGCACGAAAGGGCTCAACTCAAACAAACAAGCAAGCAGGCCACACCTTCTTTCCATGTCCTGCTCCACAGTCAAACAACAGCATAGATGACCTTTGGCAGATACACGACAGGAGCCACATGGTCAATATCAATTTGGGTCAGGATTCCCTGTTTCCTGGTATTCGGTGTTTTGCTGCGTGTGCCTCATGTCATCCCCCAAACTTAGATGACAGTCAATATTGTTTGTTGCTCACTAATTACGGCACATGGCATAGATTTCCGGACACTGCCACGGCCAGCTCGTTGCTGCTTCGCCGGTGCCCGCATTGGGCCTTTCTGCGCGGAAAGGTCCTCTCCGCGTGGAACTCGGCCCGTGTGCGTTTTGACGAATCACCCGCTCGCGGTGAATTCGCTTGTTGGGATCCGAAATCCAAAGGCCGCAGAGCCCCTGGTTCAGTGGCAAGCAATCGACTTTTCTCGAGAGCACGAGCTCACTGGCCCTCTTGGCTTTGAGGTGCATGTTTGGCCCATCTTGGATCCCAGCGGAGACCTGCAGCAAGCCGAGGAGCACCTGAAGGAGGCACTGAGGATGAAGTCCGTCTGTGACGCTGACCATGTGAATGTGGCAGTCACTTTGCATGAGCGCTGCCGGGCGTGACGCTTAGTCGAAGGTGGAGAGCCTGAGAGAGACTGAGAGCCAACGCCTCCGCTGAACGGAAGAACTAATCTAAAATGACTTCAGCAGGGAATGAGGGAAGGATCCCTATAATGAACCATTTTCTATGGCTTCCTTTCAGGGAGTCCCTAGGTTCATTCACAAACCCAGGGTCATTCCCTACTGAGCACCAGAAAGATGAACTCCCCACAAGAATAGGTACCCTTGTTTTAGCTTGTTTTCCCATGGGTACGGGGTCTGGGTTATATTCTCGCTGTGACGCTCGAAATCGATTCGGGTAGGCCATTAGGGGACAGTCCCAACAATAGACGGTGGATGTCTGGACATTTTAAGCCAAGCTCACCGATTCAGTGGTAACATTCCGAGGTCCAGCTCACACAAGTTGACTTTCTTGTTCTGCGGCCATTGCAAGGAATGTCATCTCAGCGTGACTTGTTTTGGTTTGAAACAGAAATCTTTCCAGCCGCGCAATCGCCCCGCTTGAGCTGGGCCTGGCTTGCTCAAAGTCAACTTGTTTGTTTTGTTCAGATGTCAGTGATGTTCAAGGGATTTCGGCTAATCCCCGGACACTGAACCCAGCTTGACCTTCAAGATCCAGACTGAAGGCGCAAAGGCACTCGTCGTTGGGGGGAACATTTCCGGATGAACTGGTCAGAGAACATGAGCAGTTCATTCGCTCCGAGCAACGCAGCGGGTACTTCGCGTCCTCAGCCCGGGCCATGTGGCCATTCGGTGTTTGTTTGTGCGTTTCGTTTGCATTGGGTTAAAAACACAAACAGGTTTGTCTCAACACGCTGTCCACCTAGTCATCGAGTCTGGCTGTCCCAGCGCCTTACAGTGGCTGTCCCAGAGCCTCAAAAGCCACTTTCTCCCAGATGAGCATGGAACGCAAGACACGTGGCGGGCTTGCTTTGTGTAGGGGCTGAACAGAAACCAGGAGTAAGGCACCTAGAAGGGGGGGCCTTTGTCTATCTGAGATTGTTCGTTTGTTTCTTCTTTTGGCGAAGGTTGCTGTCAGCAGTCCAGAAAGTTGGCCGGGCAGTGGAGTTTGCCTCCGCTGACAGGGAGGTCGTGCCAGGTGCAGTTCAGCAAGCTGGCCGGGGCTTGAAGCTTGCCGCAATGCCGAGCTGAGGAATTGTGTTGGGCTCCAGGAGGTTTTTGTGGTTTGCAGGTTCACCGTGTATGTTTGGGTTTTATGGGCTCCCTTGTTATACTTCCCTTTGTCCCAGTCGGCAAGTACAGAAGGGCCCGGCCGGGCTTGAAACTCTGACGGCCCAAACGGCAAAGATGGGAGGAGTGGGCACTTGTCAATAATCGGGTCGGGGGACTGTAAGGTTCCGAGCGCTTGCACCCAAGATGACAGGACAAGGTGTGTCCCATTTAGGTAGAACCCCTTCAACGGGTCATGTATGGGGACCCGGATTCCGTTTCTATTTGGCTTTCTTTCCTTTGACCTGAAAAAGGGTGCCCCGTGAAAAAACACACACACACACACACACACACACACACACACACACACACACACACACACACACACACACACACACACACACACACACACACACACGTACCAGGGGAAGCAAATGAGAACCCAGGGATTAATAAGCCGGCAGTAGCGGGGTGTCTCCTTTTGGTGGGGATCTTGCATGTTTTTGTTGGTGTTTCATGCGCACCAATCTGCAACAAGAGTTTACTTGGCCACAAGGCCTATTGAAGTATGCTTGACGATTCGCACTTGCTTTGCAATCGCGTCTTGACAAGACAAGCTGCCCCTGTTGAAACAGCATACTGTTGAGCATTAGTTTATTTGATTCCATGAGGTGCCACGACTGACGAGCCAGAGGGGAACAGAGCCCATGCTTGCCATTTGCGGCCAGGTGTTTGAAAGGTTCAGGCAGAACGCTTGAGAGGTCCGTCTATGGACTTGAGACGTGGGTCCCTTTCGCCGCGGGGGTTCCCTGAAAAAGACTCCCACGGGCGGCCCGGCGGCCCTCGGTCACATGTAGACGGTGGATGCAAAGGATGCAAAGAATGCGAAGGCGATGCCCGGATGAGGACGAACTCAGGAAGATGCTCCTTTCTACAAAAGACTTCGAACTGTTGGTGTCGTTGGGTGATTTTCACTTCAGAATCAACCGCAAGAATAAAGGTATTATCACCGCACCCATACACCACCCCCAATGCTCATGCCCTGTCCCGTTTTATTTGGCTGGTTCCCTATGAATGTGAACGCGACGAGTCATCTCAAGTTTCCTTTTGCCGTGCGCGCTTGGCTTTGGTTCGCTTGAAGTGACATCCCAAAGGGATCTGAACAGGTTTTTTGTTTGCCACATGTTGCTGTTTGTTTAGAAGGGGGTGGGGCTCCGACTGGTTTTGGCCGCTTCGGTCACTCAATGGATGGCCCTAGTCAGGATTTGCAAGCGAACCACGACCAAGTCCCAATTGGGCGCGTCAGGTTGTAATCCAATGCTATCTTTGCATTGCATCATCTCTTGTGCAGAATGCCGCATGGATTTTTCTTTCTGAACCTCCAAAGTGATGGACACTGCCCACCTAAATGATTTCCACCAAAAAATCCGGAACCCCACAGGCTGCTGTTCTCGATGGCTCATTCAGAACGAGGCGGCCCATCAGTCAAGACTCAAGAATGAGGATCCCTATACGTCCATTCAACAAATTTCAGATATCACCCGTTTTCACAGGTGTTCATTTGGTAGATGAGGTATGATGTTTCATGCACGGACCTGGCGGGACCCTGATGAGTGCTGAGCTGGGCATGGACGAAGTAATTACACCGCTGGGGAGTCTGATTTACTAGATAGAAAGAGAGACAGAGAGAGAGATACTCCGAATCTCCGGTTGATTGGTTTAGAGTCAGACCAAAAGGAATCTACTTAGGGGCTCCTATTTTGAGAGGCCGAGATGCTGTTCAAGTTTAAGTATTCCCTACCTCATGGTTGCCCACTAGCAAGTTGATACGTTGTTCATTAGGTTGTGCTACATAGTGGCACTAGGTACATAAGCACGCAAGAACGAAGGTTGGAATCATGTCAAGCAATACTTTCAAACTGGGGATGGGGTCCTTGCACTTTACGTTGCTTGCTTGTTCCGCTGGCGTTTTGTGAATTCTGCCAGTGGGGGAATTTGTCCTCATCCGATTTCATTCGCGAGCCAAGTTGACTCTCGGATGACAAGATAACTTTGTCAAGCCAGAGACCAGAACCTGAGTGCTTTCTGGAGTCAAAAGGGCGTCACGGTGGTGTGGTAAGGGTTTGGACCATACAATATGTGTGTGTGTGTTTTTAATAGGAGCCCCCAAAATGTTTGTTATCCTTTTGCTTTCCCTTTCAACACCACCCAACTAGGGGTGCCAACTCCAACAAATGGCACCCCCACTCGTTTACACAATCATGTCCTGGTGGATGCAATGCTTTCGGCTTGCCAAACGTCAAAAGCCACGGATAGCCACGGCTCACCTGCAGTCCGCTGTGCACAGTTTGGCTCAGAGCCGTACTCTGAATGTGTGAAACACCAGCACGTCACAGACACACACACACACATACACATCGCAGCCCAGTTGCAGCCCATGATGCCACTGGCGACTTTTGGATGTTTGAAATTGATTGGCGCTGCGCATGTTCGCCATGCGCCAGTTCCAAGTTGTTGCAACCAGTGCAGCGCTTGCCTGCTACAGGAGTTTTTGTTTTCTTTGCAGCCCGCGCCGCGCCGCGCGTCGCGCGCGGAGACATGAGCTGGAAGCAGAACTTCAAGGCTGTGTCTTTCACTGCCCGTTGGATCGGGCGGCGAGAGTTGGGAGTGCGAGAGTGAGAGGGGAGCCCGGTTGTGACACGAGCCCCCCCTTGACAAATTGAAACTGGCTGGCATTAGTTGGTTCTCGTTTGAGTCCCATCCCAAAGGGTTGCAAACAAACTGCTTGCAGCACCTGCTTACCTGGGTTTTTCGAAATGAATCCTGGTTTTTTGTTGCCCACAATGGTGGACATTTCTCTTGGTTGCCAGTATAGTGCCCCACTAAGAATTGCGGATTAGAATTTGGGATCCCCCCTTTTGAACAGCCAAGTTTACCATGTCGGGTGTGAATGACACTGGAGACCAAGGATGGCGACCTCATTGTTAATTCAAAGCTCTAGGGTTGTGGATAGTATGAGGTCTGTTGGAATCGCACCCCCCCCCCCCATTTCACGACTCGCTTTTGACGGCTTTTGGGAATGGGCGCTAGCCGAAATGTCCTGCTGGGACCTCGCGCTTCCTTGTGTTTGAGATATATTGCCTTGTATATAGGTGAGTCTAACAGACCTCAGAGATCATACAAGACAACCCAGACAACCAGGATACTCCCGTGGCAAAGCCATGTTGATGGTCATTGTGAAATTTTAGTTTCACGAACAATCAACCTTGCGTCAGGGATCTAGCGACATATGGGTGTTTCTCAAAATTAGGGAATCCTTCAGGTGGTTTCCCCTCAAAGCCATCCTGCAGGGAGGCGGAAATACTAACCACTATACAACAGCGGATCTGTTGTGGTGTGCCACTGCAGCGCCGGCATTTAAACGAAGCAGTGTCCTTATCGTCTAGCGGTTAGGACGTCGGGACCCGAATTTTTAAGAAACGCTCATATGGTCTGACTTGCATAGTGTCCTCCGGCTCTTCAGCGCCCCTCAATATGGCCCGCCAACCCAGGCAGGAGCGAATAGCGACGAATTCAAGGGGGCCTGGGGCGATCATGGGATAAGGTGTGTCTTTTTTGGGACCCCCCCAAAATGGTGGCTTGTCAAAAAAAACACCAAACACAGGGTCCCAAGCCTCAAAAGACAGACGCATTACGTTCCCCTGAGCCAGATCCATTGAGCTGAGGGGAAGTCGACTTGCTGAGTTGCTCGTGAACTTTCCAAGAGAAACCGTCATGCGGGATAGATCATCCATGTTTTTTTGTAGGTACCTGCCTTTTTCCCGGAAGCATTGCGAAGGGTTCTTCTTCTAAAAGCGGCTGCAAACTTCACCTGCCAACTTCTCATGTCAACTTTTCGAGAGTTATTTCACCTGCCAACTTGTCTTGCCAACTTTTCGAGAGTTATTTCATCTGCCAACTTCTCATGCCAACTTTTCGAGAGTTACTTCACCTGCCAACTTCTCATGCCAACTTTTCGAGAGATACTTCACCTGCCAACTTCTCATGCCAGCTTTTCGAGAGTTACTTCACCAGCCAACTTCTCATGTCAACTTTTCGGGTGTTATCTCATTATCCTAAAAACACAAGCTAACTTTTCTTTTCTACCTTCACATCTCGACTCTTAATTCTTCTTCTTTTTATGGCGGGGGTAGGCCCGACGGGAGCTTACGAAACGTACCCTCTGCGGAGATCGTGCGTGTCGAAGCGCTCTCGCCGTGGTCCCGTGCGAATCTGTCTTGACCGCGGCGAACCCTCTGCGGAGATCGTGCGTGTCGAAGCGCTCTCGCTGTGGCGCCGTGCGAATTTGTCTTGAGCCCGATGAACCCTCTGCGGGGATCGCGCGTGTCGGATCGCTCTCGCTGTGGCGCCGTGCGCATCTGTCTTGAGCCCGATGAACCCTCTGCGGAGATCGTGCGTGTCGAAGCGCTCTCGCTGTGGCGCCGTGCGAATTTGTCTTGACCGCGGCGAACCCTCTGCGGAGATCGTGCGTGTCGAAGCCCTCTCGCTGTGGCGCCGTGCGAATTTGTCTTGAGCCCGATGAACCCTCTGCGGGGATCGTGCGTGTCGGATCGCTCTCGCTGTGGCGCCGTGCGCATCTGTCTTGAGCCCGATGAACCCTCTGCGGAGATCGTGCGTGTCGAAGCGCTCTCGCTGTGGCGCCGTGCGTTTTTCTTGCTCGCGAAACGGCTTTTGGAAGTTGTCTCGTGGTGTGCGCGCCTGCTTTCGCAATCCCGCGGTCCCGGGTTCGATTCCCCCCTGGTCCGCGGCAGGTCCGGCTTGAAAATCGCAGCTTTTAAGTACAAACGTAGTACGCGGAGCTTGCTCCTGCAGCTCCGGCTGGAAAATCGCAACTTTTAAGTACAGACGTAGTATGCGGAGCGTGCTCCCGCAGCTCCGGCTGGAAAATCGCAACTTTTGAGTACAAACGTAGTACGCGGAGCACACTCCCGCAGCTCCGGCTGGAAAATCACAACTTTTAAGTACAAAAAATAGTACGCGAAGTACATTCCCACAGCTCCGGCAGCACTTGCTCAGAGCAACTTGCGCAGAGCAACTTGCGCAGAGCAACTTGCACAGAGCACTTGCACAAAGCACTTGCGGAGAGCAACTTGCACAGACCAACTTGCACAGAGCACATGCGCAAAGCGCTTGCACGGAGCAACTGGCGCAGAGCAACTTGCTCAGAGCACTTGCGCAGAGCAACTTGCATAGAGCGCTTGCGTGCAGCAGCTTGCAGAGAGGAACTTGCGCGCAGCAGCCTGGAACGATGCAGCTTGCGCAGACCACTTTCGTGAGAAATCGCGCGGCGCAGTTCGTGCAAAGCACATTGCGCCGAGCAGACTCGCGCAGAGCCAACTTGCACACAGCCAGTTGCGCAGAGCCACTCGCGAAAAGTAGCTTGCGTAGACCCAACTTTCACAGAGCCAAGCTGCGCAGAGCCATCTTGCACAGAGCTAAGTTGCGCGAGCGTGCTTTGCAGAAACTGTGGCCGTCGTGTAAGCTTTGCTATTGATTGCTCTTCCTTTTGCTCGTAATTCGTTTCGAGCTTTACGAGCTTTACTCTTCTTGTTTTAACGGATGTAAATATGTGGGATCGAGCACTGCCATGTTTCCTCTCGTAGGACGATGAGATGGAGCTCTCATGTGACCATACGCATTGAGCATCGCCGCGCGCGGACACGCTCGCCGCAGCGATGTAAAAAGGTGTCTCCGCGGCTGGATGAGCACCTGGGGAAAAATGCTTTCGGGCCAATCGTCCTCTAGTTTTGTAGGTGCAATTGGCACTCAAAAGGAACGCTGCTCCTCATTCGGGGTCCGCTAAAACAAACAATACCCATGGAAAGTCGGATTGTTACTGTACTCAAAGAGTTTTGTGCACAGCTGGCAGTCCCCCAAGCTTCCCGTGAGAACACTCAGTCCTGACATTGCCCTCGGGGGAATTTTGAAGAATGTCACCTTTTTGCCATGGGCCATAACAAACTTGTTTCCTTTTTTGGTGTTGGTCCCAAATTCATTGTGGTTTGTTGCGGGTTGGTGTCCTTGGTTTTTCTTTCCCAACCAAAAGCGGGACTCCCCCCCGCATGTGGGCCCCGTGGAGGCTCACCGGGTGGCGGCCAACGCGGGGTTCCTGGGGGAGAACTTCATCTACCACCGGGAGATGGAGGCTGTGGGAGTTGGGGATTCGGGAGACGCCGACTTTCTGGTCTTGGGTTGTTTGGGGCTCATGTGGCTGCCTACTGGTCTTGGGTTGTTTGGGGTTCATGTGGCCGTAAGTTGAACTTGATTTTCTGCTCCTCTTCTTGTTTCGGGGGATGAGGTTTCTCGCCTGGGAATTTCGGCTGGGTCGTGCCCCGAGGTCTGGTTTCTTCTTGGCTGGCTGGTTGGTGGGGTTGGTCAGTGCTCGGGAGGCCCCGTCATCACCAGCAGGATGAAATCGAGCTGCTTCGTCTCAGTAAGCCTGCGTCGCTTTTACGACCTGCCGGTTTTTCGGGAGGAGTCGTGTTCTTCAGTGAACCAACCGTCTGTTGACCTCATTTCCCATGGCTCAACCTTCTCAAAGTCCTTTCGATTCCGGCCGTCCAAAAAACGCCGGCAGACCTGCTTCAGCTCCTGGACTCCTGTGCTGTATGAAATATGCACCCTTGAGGATTCCCGGGTCCCGGCTGATGCCAGAGATCCCTATGCCTTCATGAGCCATCCACTAAGGGTCCAGTAAATTACCTTCTGAGGAGGCACTGTGACCCCTTTGAGCCTCTGAGATACCATGCTCAAAGGGCAAATCACCCTTTGGGCATTCGATTTGTCCTTTGCTTCTTGTTTGGTTTCTTGTCGTCGCCAGTCATTTCCCATGGCGATGCGAACGAGATTGAGGGTCACCAAGAAGGGCGAGAAAGGCGCCACGCGCGGGCGCTCAAAGCTCCGGGGCGTTGACTGGGTCCATTGGAGTGACATCTGCAAAGTTACCCTCTGAATGGTGGCCTGAAGGCGGAACACCCCTCAAAAGTAAGTGTGCGGAGTCCTCAAGCGTGTTGGATTGGATCCATTTCGCCCAAGAGACCATGGCAACCCTTGCAGCGAACCTCAAAGCAATGAGCAAACCCCCTGGAGTAGCAAATGGTCATTGGGTATCTGTTTTGTTAGTTTTCCGGGGACCAAACTCTTGAACTTTTGAGGGGTTGTAGCCCAGTAAGTTCATTTTTATCAGAGTTGTGTTTCCTGCAGATTATATTTGCGACAGCACCACCAAGTTCGTCCCCGTTCTAGTTTGCTGCACAGAGAAAGCAGCACACTCTCGATTCGGGGCTGACATTTTGGCGCAGGTTGGACCTTGCCCCACCGACCGTCACAATTTGGTTGACCCAAGCGTCCGCTGCTGAAGCATTGCAGGCAGGTTTCTTTCCACAGGTGTGGACGTTCGATGTGTTTTGATCTAGGGGATGACTGGCCGCGTCAATTTCATTTGATTTCACGTTGCCATGTTATGTGTATCTACCGTTTGTGCCAGCGTGAAACGTATACGCTGGCCGAGCGCAGCACGGCCAGTCGGCCAAGAAAGCTCAAGCATCCACTGTGAGGGGTGAGGGTCCGCGGCGCATGGTTGGGGCATGGCTGCCTTACACGTACATAGATATATATATATATATAACATGCATATGCACAGAGCAGGTCAGTAGTTGAGGGTACTCTGTTCGGGTTTTTTTTCAAAGAGAAATCATTCTACCCTTGTCCGGGGTTTCAAAATTGGGCAATGGTACTGAAGAGCTGGTGAAAGCTGCATTGGATGCATTGAAACTCCCATGGTGCATCAAGCTCGGAGCCTGAAAGGAGTTGCAGCTGCGGACCAATCCGGGTCAACATGACTCGAGATTCTCGGCCCTCATCTTTGGACTCGGGTTGCTTTTGAATATGCGACTCAGGTCACAGATCTCCAAGTTCTTCAACAACATCTACCGACAGCCTGGCTGGCCTGGTTGGATTGCCGCATGTAAACGTCGCTGGCTGGAACCATTTTAAAGTCAGAGTCCCCAAAAAATTGAAGCTGCTATTTCTTGGGCCTTTCTGGGAAGGTGAGCACTTTATTGCATACCAAGGGAATACCTTCACTACTGAAAGGGTATATTTGCTTAAACCATGTGGAAAACCGACCGGCAGTGTGTTTTGATACTCCGTTCTGGGTTTCAGCCAGGCATGGGCCCGACTCCACACATAGTTGACCGTGTGCTACGGTTTCCTTTGCAACATGCGAAGTTGCTTCAAGAAGTTGTACATGACTCCTAGGGCAGCCTGTGCAAAAAGGCACCGACTTGTCACTACCTGAGAGAGTGGTCAAAATATGTGTTGTTTTTCTAATGCTTGAGTCCCCTGCATGCGGTTGACAACTGGAAGGAAGCACAGGGCTTTCCCTCATGGAACTGTTCCTACCAAGCGTCATCAAGGCGCCTCTCTGCTCGTCAAAGATGTTCAGCAAGGAGCTACCACCAATTTGTTTTGTCCATGTTAGTCTTCCCAAGGGGCCAGGTGTGTGTTTGGCTGGGCTTTTCCCTTCAAAAGGTTGAACCAACTTCCTTCCAATTGTTGGTTCGGATTGGTGGTTTGGTCGGGGCAGGCGTCCATGTCTACAAAAGCCAGGGGTTCAAATCCGCGAACCACCTTGCTGCATAGAACCTGACTGGAGGCCCTTCGTTGAAGACCATGGTCAAGGGACCGGGAGGGTGAGTTGACAGGGACGGCTGTGACGACGGGTGTGACGGGGGGCTGTAGTTTGCCTTTTCAAACGACACCAAAAAGGCGACCCTACCCTGCCAGTGACAACATGACACACAAGGTTCGGTCAACATATCCATTCGTCTGGCAATATCTGTGGGCAGTTTGGAAAGGGACATGGGAACACAGTAAAAGTCCTGGTAGGACACCCATGTGCCCACAAAAGCCAGGGAACACTTGGCCAAGGAATTACTAGTCAGGTAGGAAAGCCCATCGTTTTGGGGCACCGAAGCTTTTTTGGTCGGAGTTCCGCCAGGCTGCTGCCAGGAGGCCGCACTGGCAGATGGGGCCTGCTGCTGGGGGCGTCCCTGCCACTCGCGGGCTGCATGGCTGGGGGGCCAAAGACAACCAATGGGTGCGGATATCCGCCCTGATTCTTGAGATTGGGTGTGGCAATCAAAATTAAACAATCGCCAGGGTTTCGCAAACCGCAGGTTTTGGCATATTTCCATGTTTCCACTTACCAGGGCAACCCATTTTGGAATTCCGGTTTTTTGAGCCACAGCCAATATGAGCCACAATCAAAGCCCAGGAAGATGAAGGTTAGTAAGGGACAATCCCGACCGTAACTGGGTGCGGCCGCCTGGGTAATTAATTCTTTGCATGGTTTTGGGTAGGCCGTTTGATACCAGGTTTTGAGTACGGCCCAAGTAAACCCCCCGAGAGCTTTTGTTTGGGCGCATTTTTTTATAAAGGAATCAGACACCCCAAAATGGCGTCGGTGGTCCTTGCCGTTTCCCTTTAAAACCACAAACAAAGGGTGCCCTGGAAAAAGGCGCGCCCATTTGCTTAAGAGCATTGGTTGTTTTTCCTGGTTGTTCAAGGGAATCTATCATTGGACATACGTCCAATATGCTGCCTTTTTGCTAGACACAAGCAAATGGGGTTCTGGCACCGTTTCCATGGCAACTCAACAGGTGAGGGATGACCACCTTCCTTGAGTGGAGCCCAAGTTGCGGAAAATCATCGGCTTCTGGCCCTTTACCACCACGTGCACCAACCAAAACAACTGAATAGCACGTTTGTCGCTTTTGCCGCCAAGAAGTGAGAAGACAACACAAGCTCTTCTGAAAAGCTTCCGTTCTTTGGTACTGTTTTCATGGTTGTTGTTGGGAAACATTTTGCATTTTTGCTTATTGTGGTTGAGCGGTTGAAATCCAATTCCACTTAACTGCTAAAATGTTCAAATTGTTGCTCCCCAAACCGAACGTCAACGTATTGTTTTTGGGTCCACCGGGAGTCTTGGCGTTGAGGTGCTGTACACCATGGTCAGCACCATGGGCAACCAGGACACGGCAGCGCCCGGCGCTGAGTGACTGAGTGGGGACATGAAGGTCACGGTGTGGGGGACTTGTTTTGTTGGTTTGGGAGCTCTCATTCTCTTGGCCCCAAATTGTTGGCCCACGGTGACTTTGACTTCTCCTTGATTGAGGTTTGGGATTTGAACAGAGTGAGTTTGAACTGACAAGATTACAAGCACTCTGTTGTCGATTGTGGAAGCAATGTTTGTTTGCCACAAGCAACCTGAGTCCGGACGACCCCCACCTTTTCTGATGTCCAATTCAACCCCCCAATATCGACCAAGCATCCATTGACGGTCCCCCCCACTTTGTTCCCCATCATTTCACAAGGCGCTACGAGCTGGAGTTGGAGAAGCAGAAGGCGCATTGGGAAATCTTGTTTGAAGAAGCCAGGCGAGAGGCGAAGATGCAAGGCCCTTAGGCTGACAGAAAGGCCATTGGATGGAGCGCGAGGGTAGGAAGGGCAAAGTTGACCCCAAGTTTTGACCTCGTAAAGAGGCGCTTACCTAAATGAGCCACACATGGGAGTGCGCCTTTTGAGCTTCCAGGCGTGTGGTGGGTTCTGCATATTTTGGATTGCGTGCGCGGAGCGTGTTTGGTTAGTTGAGAGCAACCCGTACTAGGGAACCCCATATGCTTGTGTCCTTTATTCTGAAGAGCCCCCAGTTTGGATCGAGACGGATCCAAACAGCTTCAGGGGTATTTTGAAGATGTCACTTGATTGGACCAAGTATTCCATGGGCCACTCGGGGAAGTGCATGTTCCAAAAGAAAGGAGGGTGCCTTTCCCAGCAAATGGGTCCAGAAATCTTACTATGTGGGGGATGTGTCCAAAGGGAAAGTTCTATATCGAGACTCGAGAAAGGGTACACTGAAAAAAGACAAACACACCCCTAGTTTCCTTGATTCTTCAAACATTACCTGTGGGGCACAGTTTAATACTTTCCTGGTGGGTTCATGTTCTTAAGGGCAGATGGAAGGTTCTTTACAACCACCTGGACCCCCGCCCCCCGCCCCCCTCTGGTCATTTTGGTTTCCAAGGGACACCCAACAACTCCAAGCGCGTCGAGTTTCTGCGAGGCCGTGATACAGGCGAAGAAGGCCATGTCAGTCTGAGTGCGTTGCAGTTCCGGTTTTGGGTTTGCAGGACTTGAAGTCCAGAAGTTCTTGGAGTGGTCCAGGGGCCAGACCCAGCGTTGTCAGAAGCTCATTCTGTTCGGATTGTGGCAACTTCTTGCAAACAGGAAGGCACTGCACACCACAAAGCTGGACTTCGTCATGTGCGGGGTGCTTGCGCAAAGCCTGCCCGCGTTTTTCTGGGGGTTCGTCGAGTGGACGACACCCCAACGCACCAAATACGCGTGGAAGGCAAAGATGGACTTCCCTAGCTGTGCTGGCAATTGGGCATGGCCAAAATTTAACCACCAGGGGACCACAGGTTTTAGTCACTGTTTCCATTTACCAGGGTGCCATTTTGGGGTTACCCTATTTTTGACAACCACAGCCAATTTCTGAAAACCAGCCGTGTACTGTTATGAGCCTGACATAAATTTCACAGCAAGAAACGGAAACGAAAGATCGTGTCAGCTAAGGTCCAGGCTCATAACCGTTGACTGCTCATTTGCTGGGTCTTGCTTTTATTACTAGGTCCCCCAGCTAGGTGCCCTTTTACCGATTCTTTTTGGGGGGAGATTCGGTTCCCCTACTAAACTAGACTACCGGAAAAAGGGTACCCTTATTCTAACCTCTCTACTGGAGGACCTAGGTTATGTTAGCCTTGTGCCGCGCAAGGTGACCGAGCTCCGTGCTTGAGAGCCTCACACGAAATCGTTGTGGTCTAGTCTATGAACCTTTACATTATATCCACTGAGACACGTAATTCCCTACCTGAGTCGAAGGTGCTGAATGCCTGGGAAACAGAGCTTGTAATTTTGTTTTTGTCAGAGGCTCCATGTACCATGAAACACTAACATGATACAACGAGAACATGCGCAGTGCGGGTGTTCTTGCAGCCTAGCTCCAATCAGTAGCCTGGGCGAAATGTGGGTGTGGCTTTTTAGAGGGCACCTTTCTGTTGGTTCGGTTTAAAGGGAAACCAAAAGGAACCCAGCATGTTCTGGAGCGTCCTCGAGAAAAAAACAAGGAAAGAGAGCACATACATCGTGTCATTCTTCATCTGAGTTGTTGGATCACCGCATAGCACAGCTCCCCCTTTCGGCCGGAAGCGGTTTTGCCTCACTCGATCCCGCTGGCTGGGCAATCGGAGCGCGAGCAAACAATGATGGGGGGTCCAGCTGACGGCTTCCCACCAGACACCTTTGCGCCCTTGGCAGAGAACCCTCTGGATTCGTTCTGTGTCGGTTTTTCTTGAAGTGAAGTCAGGAGACCTGATTGAATGCTTACAGGGGGGGCCCTTGGACACTCAGGCGATGTGGCGACACCCAAGAAATGCATGCCCCCAATTCCCTACAGAGAATGTGCCTTTGCATTTTGCGGCACACCCCAACCCATGAAACCATCGCGAGGGGTTCGGTTGCATTCCAACAGCCAGGCCGAAAAGGCTCAGTCCTGTTCCCACTGGTTGTGCGGGTTTGCCCTTTGATGTTTGAGTGGATTTTCCTTGAACTTACTCACTTCCCGAGTGTCCTGACTTTATACTTGGCAAATCTTGGCCATACCTTTGTAGTGGTAGACAAGATGTTTGGGGCTTGTTTTGGGCCATCCACTCGTGCAGTGAGATCAACAAGACTTGCAGCAAGCCCCTTTTTGTCCGGTCTGGCAAAGGAGTGCCGTGCCAGGTTTGAAGTGGACAAGAATCGGTCCGTTCGGCGAGTCTGAAGCGATATGTGCTCAAACTTACTTTCTGAACGATGGTTTGAAGGGAACCCACCCCGAAAGGTAACTCTGCGAAGCCTTCCTTTCAGTTGGAGAGGTGGTAAGGCCAGTGGTTGTTTCGTGGTGAGGGACGCCAACATGAGACTTGCAGTACGTTGACACAGAGCCTCAGGTTGTGATCCAAGGCTTTTCCTATTCAGTCCGGAGAAGTCGCTAATGCAGGCTTCTCCAGCGGTGCAGCGATGGGTGCACAGGGATCGATCCAGAATGCAGCGATTGAATCAACCCTGCCAATTGGCAAGGCGCAGACATGCCCCCCATGCTGTTCAACCAGAGGGTTGTTGGTCTGTTTTTTCTTTGTTCTTTTTCTGGGAAGGGGGGGGGTAAAAAGAATCAGATTCCGACTTCCGTTGCAAGTTTCAGAGCGGGGAGTCGAAAATTGGCTCGTCAAGCACACCTTGTGAATTTTGGCTCAAGGCGCTTTGTGCTCGCCTGTCCTGAAAGAAAGCCTGGCTCTCCCCGAGCCATGTACTCATCCAAAGAAAGAGGCGACGGGACGGGTCACCGGGTCACCAGGGCTAGGCAGAAGGGAAGGGGGGGGGGCAGGCTCTGGGATGTGGGTGTGTGTTTTTTGGATGGTACCCGTTTTGGCGTGGTTTCAAAAGGGAAATCAACGGGAAAGCCACCAATATTCAGAGTCCCTTATTTTGAAACATTCCTGTGTAGGTGGTTCCGGATGGCTTCTGCCTGAGGCCTTTTTGGACACCCTTTTCCACTGCAAGTTGGTCTTGCTCCGATGTTTGGGCTGGCAGGTTTCCCTGCAGCGAGATCCAAGAGCTGTGTTGCTCTTGGACCCCCAGGCTTTTGTTTCCGTTTAGAAAGACCGATGTGGTGGATCTTCCATCTAGTCTAGGTCCCAGTCAGGTGCCCTTTCTCAACCCTTGCTTGTTTGGGAAGGTTCCCCCACTAAATTTGACTACAGAAAAAACAGGTACCCTTATTCTAACCTTTCTACTGGAGGACCTAGTAGCGGTGGTAGGGTGCAACTGCTCTCGTCCTGTAGCAAGGGTGGCTGCCCGGAAAGTCTTAAAGGAGGCTGCCTGCTGTCTATTGCTCCGAGCTTCAGCTTTGAAATGAACTGGCGGCATGTATGCAGCAGGCGTTTGGATGAATCACCTATGTTGCCATACTATATGTTGACGGTTGTTTTTCTTTGCCTCATTTTAGGCTGGTAAACCCCATATATATGATAGACGTCCCATGAGTGAAAGCACAAGACATATTCTCGTGACGGATGTGACATGGAATAATACCCTCATAGGTCAACCATACCCAAAATGGCTTGCCCTGGCAAATGGAAACAAGGACTAAAACTAATATACCATAAGAGCAACAACCAATATACCATAAGAGCAACAACCAATATACCAGTATACCAATAAACATGGAAACAATCAGTCTTTTACTGATGTTATGTTGACCCATTCGCAAGCCGGCAGGTTCCACGGAACCTTCCTCATCTCACCGCGGGACTCTCAGCAACTTCAGCCCGTGGCAGCCCGGGCTTGTCTCCTTTTGGGTTAGGGGAGCCCAAAAGGAAGCCACCAAGGGTTGGGGGTCCTCTGTTTTAACAAAGAACCTGTGAACTCTGTGTTCTCATTCCGTTTTTGTTCAGCGTGATTTTTTCTTGAACATCAACCAACCAAGCAAATGGGGTGGGGGTACATATTTAGAGATATCACCCCGGCTGGGCCAATGCGGCCAATCCGTTCCGTTCCCCACAGAAAGACGGCTCAGTAGCTCGGGGATTCACGAACCAGTCATGGGACACGGAGCATTCTGACCACAGGGGCTGAAAATTTAAGGAGGTTCTCCAGGATGGCGACCAACCTCATACTGGACTCCTGGAAGTGCCACCCAGAGGAGACATTACACACGATTCTACTCATCACCAGCCCAGTTGCCCAGTACCCTTTTTTCAACTTCTTTTTGCGAGTTCCCCTTTAAAATCAACCAACTAAAAAAGGATGCCCTGTTTTTCCCATGGCCACTGGGCATTTGAGCCAGAGTGATATTCAACATGGCTTGGCATTCTTTTTGGACCGCGTGAAATCTGAGCGAATGCCGCCGCCGGACCGCCGGGCAGCAGGGGAGACCCGAGACCCAGCCTTTCCGAAGCGCTTCAGTTAAGGCAGGGCTCCTTAAAAGATACATGTTGCAACCATTTGAAACATGGCTTTTTCCACCAAAATTAAGGGACACCAACATTTACAAGGCAATGTTCAGGTGTATAATGTAAGGATCCCTGTTAAGACCTCATTTGGATCAGTTTTCATTCGTGAAGTCAAGAATAAAGACTGTCGTTTGAGGGACTAGCTTTCGCAACACCAACCTTAGGCAGGAAACTACGAACCGATGTTTGAGATGTGTCGAACCAAATTTTCCGGATTCAGCGACCGCTCTTGAAGTCAATTATTGTGGTACAAGACCTCGACTCAAATTGTTGTTCGCTTCAATGGGCTATCATGGGTTTGTCAAGCTCTCACAGGTTAGGCTCATGAAATGACTCATGTCGGAAGCACTTGTTTTAGTCCATGAAGGCCTAAAGGGGATGGATATGTATGGTTCTTAGTTTTTTGCAGGGGGTATTGAAATGGTTTCTCCCCGAAGCCGCGACCGTCTCTTGGGGCGCCCCCTAAGTCAGCTACCAGGGGTGTCCTTTTTTCCACATGTTTTCTTTTGAAGGTTGGACCCCCCAAAAAGAAAACAGAAAGAAGAAGAAGGTGGTTTTCCTTTTGGTTTCCCCTCAATAACCAACTAGCACAAAAAGATAGTTTCATTAATCAAGAACGAGAGTTAGGGGATCAAAGATGAGTAGACACCATCGTAGTCTTAACCATAAACTGTGCCGACTCAGGATTGGCAGTCGTTGAATTAATGCCTTGGGAGAAACTTCGGAAGCTGAAGTCACCGGGCGAAGCACTCCGCGCTTTGCCCCCGAATGTGTCGCTGGTCTTTGGGGAGCCGCCCTGAGTGGCGAAGTGGTGACCTTAGACTACAGCAAAACAACATCAAGCACCGGACTGAGTTGCACTTCCGAATTTCGTTCAAGGGATTCTTTGTTTCGGAGATCAATTGATTTTGTGGGCTTTGTTGAAAACGATGAAAATGGGAGATCGACCTTTACAACTACCATGCCAAGCGGCGTGATGGTCCACTCGCCTGATTTGGCCCCTAGGGTTCTCCTCCAAGGGAGCGCGGAAGCGCGCCCAGCTGCCAATGAAGATGGGAGCCTGCTTTTGCAGCTTGGCGAAAGTGGGTCTGTCTCATCAGGGCTCCTGAAAAGATACATTTTGGCCATTTGAAACATGGCTTGTTCCACCAAAATAAAGGGACACCACCATTTACAAGGCAATGTTCAGGTGTATAATGTAAGGATCCCTGCTCATGGACAAATCTTGTTTCAACCAGTTGCGCTTTGGTTCGAACCTTGACGGCAAGGTTCGAGGTTCTAGAACATGATGAGTTTGCAAAAGCAAACGAATTCTGAGGCGCTATTCGCAGGGGTTCACCAAAGAGAGCAAACTAAAGAGAGGCCACCCAGGATCAAGCTTGGAGCTAGCAGACACATTTGTCCCGGCTCGCGAGGTATTCGGCTGGTGTCGGAGATCTTTGCCGCAGGATGTCCTTGCTAACAGGAGTTCCTGGAAGACCATTTTCCTTTCAAGGGGACTCCTGTGCAGGCTCTATGTTTGCTTTTGGGAGGGTATTGAACACTCGGAAAGTGAAGAGACAGCAGCTTGGCCTATTTGAGGAACAACTCACTAGTCTTGATTTGGGTTCCAGGCATGGGGGGGACGGTCCCCACCAATTTCCCCCCGGTTTCAACCACAAGCACCGGGGCCGCTTCGGAGGCATAGACACTTCGGCCCCTTCAGCTTGCCGAAAGGTTTGTCTTGGGTGGAAAGGGAGACCAAAACCGAAATCCATGGGAGGTCCGAATCCCAACGACACAGAAAGGGTATGAATGTTCAGAACGGGACTCGAACAATTCTAATTCTGTTCCTTGCAAGGACGATTCTCAAAGCCTGGTGAGGTTGACGTCATTCAAGCCTCAAGCACCAAGTATCACTCTCCTCGACGAGATTTGAGAATGGGCATACCCACTACATGGTTCCACAATCTTGCCTTGCAGGGACCTAGCAGTTCAATCAGCTCCCAGAGCAGCAGTCAACTAATGAGAGGAGCAGTCCTTCAAAGTGGTGTTCCAGATCGCCCTAGAGCTCAATACTTTGCATCCTGAACTTTGTGAGCTGTTGTCAAATCGCATGATCCTTTGAAACCCGAAACCCCGGGGCAGACGAGCATTGAGAACGCACGCTGACAAGACGCTTTCCTGTTTGATCCGCTCCTTCCAGACTCCTGATATCTCTTGCTTCAGCACTATGCGGCGCCAAATGGTCGTGCCGAGATGCTGACTTGCTGGGCACTGAAATGCATGTGATTTGTGTGATGTTAAACCCCCGGCCTCAACAAGGCATCGCCACGCGTTGATTTGTTTTTGTTTCTGTTTGTTGGCTTTCCGGCATCAGGCAGTGCCTTCTCGCCTCCGTTTTCGCAGCTGTGGTGCTAGGCTGGGACATTGTTTCGCAGCGCTTGGGCGTTGGGCTTCCGCAAAGTTTGGATGTTCAAACCTGGGTCCCTTGGTATGTTATGGTGAAGACCATGTTGAACCCGTTGTTCCTTGTGAACTTTCTGGTTGCACATGGGATATAACATGGAATGAATCAACATTAAAGTTTGCCTTTGTTTCTATAGCGGCTGTGCCTCTCTTTGCACATTTCACATGCCATTGCGCTTGTGTTCGCGAGTGTTCTCCAGAGATGTTCTGTCTCCGGTGGCCAGCATCCTGATGTTGCTAAACTCAGACCGGAGGTCCGGGAAACCGGTCGATGTAAGAAGTCCTTACTAGAGGGCATGCTGGTCAAATGTTTGCATGCTGACTTGGTGGAGTTTTATGGCAAAACTTGGCAACATCGCGCAGATTGGAGAAGCATGGCTTGAAATTGCTGTCGCTCTTGCAAGTGCGCTTGTCTCTGCTTCTAAGTGCATTATGGCATTGGTTTGGACGACTTGAAGAAGGTTTATTTTTATGGTGGTCCCTATCTTTTTTTTTTTTTGTGGATTACTCTAATTCACCCAGATCGTTCTCATGTGCTAGCTTATATCAGGGGTTCATCATTCCCTTTTTGGAACCTCCCAAAGTGGTGTCACACGTGTTTTCCCCTTGGCTTTTCTGCAATTTGTCATCTCTGGCTCATGCTTGGCAGTGAACGGGAGAATTAGGACAGTGTTTTATTTTTATATTTGTATTATTATTAATGCAATAATTGTCGAAAAACCCAATGATGTTTGCATAGTTGCAGTTCAACTGCTCGAAAATCTGAATCAACAAACTGCAGCCAACATATGGCAGAGATCCTGCTCGAAGCTGATACTTAAAAAAGAAGCGATGCATTACAGTGCAGATGAGTTGATATTGTGTCTTGCAATGATACTGTTTGTCTATACATTGATTCCCCACTATGAAGCAAGCGGGCCGTTTGCATGCTCCCTCGTCACAGAGACTCTTCCAGCAAATTCATGTTTGCTGGAATGGACATGGTGGCTCTCCAGATGCTTTTTGCCAGCATTTGCAACCAAACATTGCCCATGCATCAACCTGTGTGCACTCATGTGTGTTCGTGTGTGCACGCCTTTCATAACGACGGAAGCACCCCCTCCCCCACCGGCACGCCCCTCCCCCAGCCCTGCTCACAACTCCGACTCGACACATCACAGCCTAACCACAATCAGCAAGAAACACACCAAAACATACCAGTTTTTTGTTCAGCCTGTTTCCTCCAACAACCATGGAAGTGGACAAAGGGCTTCCCCAAAAGGAGAGAACCCTTGTGTCAGCTTCCATGATTGAAGGGGGTGTCTCACTTCCCGAGTGGATGACCCAACAATAGTCCATTTTTTATTTGCCACTCAAATGGTTCTCCCAAACATAATGGTGGAACATGATTAATAAACCCGCCCTGATTAAAGACGTCCGGTTTCCCCAGACCATTTCCAGGCAATACTACTTTAAAGGCACCCACAAGGTTTGGCCAAGAAACACCCCATATTTTTTGGGGGGCACCTCCAAAACCCCCCTGATTAAAGACGTCCCCCAATCTCCCAGAAAAAACCTGAAGCAGCAGACAGCAGCAGCATCCTTTTCCTCATGACTCAGCCTGTCTGAATGCTCTCACTCCTTTCCTTCATTGCCTCTCCTGCCTTCAGTGCTTCCTTCTTCAAGTTGTGCTCTCAGTCCTCTCCTGCCACTGCCTTTCCTGCCCTTAGTGCCTCCTTCTTCAAGTGGTACCTCAATGCTTTCTCAAAGCTGCAGTTGAGGCATCCACTCCTCCACCTGCACTTGCTGCAGATCCCTATGTGTCCTTCATCCTTGATCCGCTGAAGCTCCTTTTTAGCCTCATGGCTCAGATCCTCCTCACCAAATGGCTTGTTCTCAGTACCCCCCTTCAAGGCCTGACCCCCCCCTAATAAGAGAACCCACTCAAAAGCCACAACCTGGCCCCAGCAATTGGAAACCTAAAGAGCTACTACTCAACAGATACTACCAGAAGATTCTATTTGAATTTGGCTAAGGGTCCTTTTTTCTGAAAAGTGTGTCTTCTAAAACAGCAAGTTGCAGGAGCCTGGCAGCTGATCAGAAACCTCAAGCCTCCAAACCTCAATCCTCAAGCTTCTCAGACTTCAAGTCCTGCAGATCAATTATTAGGGGGAGGCCCTAGGGGAACCCTCAAAATCTGATTTTCCCAAACCTTGTCAACTTTGAGGGGGGGGTTTATTAGTCAAGTTCCACCATTAATAAAGTCCAGGATCTCAGAAAGTGAGGTATCGAAACAAGGCGTTTGCACATCCCCACTTAATCAACGTCGCTCCCCAGGACTGGCTCAATGACTCGCTTCACATTTTGGTGCCCAAAATCAGAGATCCTGAAAGGGTCCGCTTTGACAAGGGCACAACACTGATTTGTGGTATGTTTTTGTAGATGTTCCTTAGAGCTGGTAATTTGTTTCCAGATCTTCCTGAGAGCTTTGCGCTCGTTCAAAAAGCTATCAAACTGATATCTCACAGCGCCCGGACATCTTTTGCACGCCAGCCAGAAGGGCTTTAGGAGCGGGCAATACAGTGCAGAGACCTTGTAAAACAACAAATACGCACGTCGTGCAAACAATCCATGGCAGCCAAATCAAAGCTTGCTGACGTATAATGGATTCCCCCCTTGACAAGCTGCAGTTGTTTGGTGGTGTCCATTAAAACCCAGCTTTCGTCTCCAGGTTTTTTAGCAGCCTGTGACCTTGTTGGACACCCTTCTTTTGGTAGCATATTTTTTAGAGGCACCCCCTCCCCCACTACTCTTGTTTTTAGGGGTATGGTTCCTGTTTGCCTTAGCAACCGCCATTTACAGACTCAACCCCGAAAAGCCAATACTTAAAGTAGGTGGTTGCATTTTTTTTCGTGACCACCTCTAAATGCCAGCCAAAGTGCCATGATTAAACGGTTAAACCGCATTCTCACAACATGAGCCTGTACCCGCCAGTTTTGAAATTTAACTGAGGCCCCTTTGGACATCATTTAGGGATTTACGGGTCTGTCTCAAAGTCAACTTCGGGGGACCCCATTTTTTTCTCTCGGTCAGTTTCCTCTTTCAACACCGAGCTTTAGAGGGGGCTCCCTTCAGGAAGCACTCTATCTCCCCCAAAAAGTGAAAAACATCCTGTCCAGCAAGCAGAGAAGGTCTCCTTATCCACCCCAAAAAAAAGAAAGAGAAACATCCTGTCCACCAAGCAGAGAAGGTAGTTCTCCCTCCCACGGTGTGCCGGGCTTTCGCAGGGCTCCTGGTTCAGCTGGGCCTGGTGGTTCGCTCCCGCAGCTGCCCGGTTGGGGGACCCTCGCAGGTCTGTGCGCATGTGGGGTTTGATTTATGGGGAGAACTGGGTGTGGGTCAAAAAGAAACCAAGGGACCCCAGGTTTTCATCCTGTTCCATTTACCAGGGCAACCCATTTTGGGTACCCATTTTTGACCCACAGCCAAGTGAGGACATGTGGCCCTAAAGCCCCTAAAACTAAAGTCTTCGGAGTTTGGGGCAGCAAGCGCGGGCTGGCGACGGAGGTTCCTTCCATTCCTTCTTTTTGTTGGTGATTTTAGGATGATTCATTTGGCGTTATCAAGTCGGTTGGGGGGTTAAAAAATAAGTGACCATGTTCAGCTCCGACGGTCTTTGAAGACGGCGCAAAATGACAGGGATCGTAAGGGGCATCCATCCTGTTGCAGGAATCCCTCGTGCTTCACGAGTCAAGGCATTGGGTGGCGGCTACTTGCTCTTTTTTTCTGGGGGAAGTGCGCCTTTGTCAAGTGGAAGGAGTATGCAAGTAAGACATGGAGATACATGGAGGTTGTCAAGACAAGCTATGGGGAAGGAAGACGGAGCTGAACGAGCATGATGCAGAAAACTGATTGTAAACCAAAAGGGGTTCTTAGGAATCCATTTTATAAAGCAGCCATGCGAAGAGTCCAGGTTTTGAACACAGCCTGTTTCCCCCCTTTAAAAGCGGGTCATTGTTTTGTGCCATGACCTTTTCGAGGTTATGGAGACTTCAGGTATTGAAGTGAACATCCCAATCCCCACTAACATAGGTTCTCAAATGGGCGGCGAATTCACCTACCAACCTCCATGGGATTCCAAAACGGTTTGACCACCACAGCCATGTGATTCACCAAACTGGATCCCTGGATTTGTGTGGAGCGAAGCGCGTGGGCTCCTTGAGGCCAGCGAAGGCTACACCTGGTGCGAGGTGTTGCAGGCGCGGCCGGGAGTTCGACGCCGGTGGGCGCCCCGAGCTGGGTCCAGGGCTCAAAATCCATGTCCATTTCCAGGGATCCGGATCTTTCTAGAAAACCAACACCAACAAACCCCGGGCGGAAATGGCGATCGGTTTTTGAACAGAAGGAGGGCTGAAAAGAATGGAAAAGGAATCAACCTCTAGAACTAGATCTATTCAAACCAAATGAACAAACACACACGAACAGGACACAGGAGTCCGGAAATGATGGCTTTGGTAGGGGAATTCGTCCCGTAAAACCCTTTAACATGGCGGGTCCGCAAGCGGTGAACGTGCATAGGCGCTACTGTGCATCAGGGGTGTATCTTTGGTTGCCCAATTCCAGTTCCGTGCAGAGGTAACAGGAACAGTGCAAATAGCCACAACTTTGAATGTGCGATTGAAGGGTCCCTTTTCGACCCCTTTCTAGTGATGCACCCAAGGCAGTGTAGGCAGTTGTTCTTTGGGCGCTGGGTTGGGGCCTCACCTGCATGCCGACAGAGGCCCCTGTTGGAGTTGCTCCGCATTTGTTTTTCGTTGAATGGCGCGAGAGGAGATACACTGCACGGCAGCCAATGCTCATTAGACCGTTTCACTTGCACACTTCTCGGTCACAAGAAATTACGCATGCAACACTTCCAGCCTATTTCCCTATCCTTGCAGCAGCGGTTGGCCAGTTTGGCGACAAAGTGGCTGCTTGGTGATTAAAGTATGTTAGAATGGCAAATACCAAATTCACCAGGGTGAAGTTTGTCTGAGAATGTGTCAACTTGTGCTCGGGATTTCAATGCATTTTCACGTTGGACTCAGTTGGACTCGCGGACAGGTTTCACCTGTTTCCACCTCCCACTCGTGTTTGTGTGCGTGCGTGCATGTGTGTGTGTGTGTGGCTAAAGCGGCGCTTTGGCCCTCAGGACGTCCGATCCTTGCTGAGCTTTGCGCTTGGCACCATCTTGTGCTGCCTGCTCACGCGGAAAGACGCGGTGGCGATCGAGCGGCCCCTTTTCAACGCCTGGCTCAGCATCCAGCTTTGAGCAGACGTGATCTTGAAGCACGCCGAGGTACCTGGAAGTGTTTAGAGAAACGATTGACGAACACGCCATGTCTTCTTTGCAAAGGGGTTTCTTAGGGTTCAATCACTAGCAGAATGGCTGACCCAATCTGGATGATGAAACTCCTCAGGTAAGTACTGGCTTTTATATTAGCCCCCTTTCTCGTAATGGCGGTTTGAACCCCCAAAACAGCTGTGTGCTTTATATTAACACTTCCCGGGTGCGCACCAACACGCCTGCAAGCGGCAAAAATCCGCTTCCTCTGGGCTGCAGCTGGTTTTTTTCTGGCGGGAGTCGGGCCTCAAAGCAGGGAGTGCAGCGCTTCAGACTGGTAGAGCCGGATGAAGTACACTCATTGGGCAAATGGAGCTTGGGCCCTGCGATGAAGGCCCTTTCTCCGCAACTGGATTTCAGGTGTCTGAATCACGATATAGGTCCGTTTGTTTTTTGGGGGACCCCCCAAAGTGGCGGTTTTTCTTTTGGTTTCTCTTCCAAACCATCCAAAAAGGGTTCCCTCAAACAAAGACACACCCAATTAGTGCAGATCAAAGTCCTCCTTTGTCAACCGCGAGCGTGCTCCTCCCCTGAAAAGCTCTTAGATGCCTTCGAAGACATGTCTCAGAACCTTTCCTGGGTGGGAGCCTACTGGGTATGTCTTTCGGGGGTACTCCTTTTTGCCTGGTTTCAAAGGAAAACCACAAGGACAACTGCCAATGTTTTTTTTGGGTTGGGGGGGGGCACCAAAAGGAAAGCCGGCATTTTGGGTTGTCCCCTATAAAAAGACACCCTGCATGCCGGTTGTAAGTGGTTCTTATCAAAGCTGAGCGCTTCCTGTGGCGAGGTTTGCGCGTGGAGTCGCGCAAAAAGCAAAATCGCCGGAGCGTCTCCTCCCAGGTGTTTTTTTAAAACAACGAAACCGAATCCCAGCGAGCGAGCGACGGAGCAGTCCTTCAGTCTGGATGTCTTAGAGGAATCTATGATGGTGTCCACTGCCCCCAGACCACCCCTAGGGGTTTAATGGGAGATACTGTATGGCCACTATGTAAAGGGTATATTCTTCTGTTTACCACGGGGGTAGTGGTTTCGGGCTAGTGGAAACCATCATAGACGGTTTTGCAGGGTCCTGGTCCATGATGAAGAACCATAGTGCTTTTTAGGTTAACTTTGTTTCGGAATAGATGGCACTGGTTTAGATGGGTGCTATTCCATTTGCCAGGGCCTTCTATCTTTCCCAAAGGCCACCTATCTATGTAAAGAGCGCCTGCGCAACCTGACGAGTTTAAGTTTGCTCAAGTGAGTCTAACGGCTTCGAGGGCATGCTTTAGCCAGGGTGTTTGCTCAAGGCACAGGTGCTTTTGAGCCCCCGTTCAACATCATCCTGTAAGGCCCTACGGTGCAGATGGGTCTAGTAGAGACGATCAAAGAGCAAAAGATCCCTGTTTGCCCACAGCAAATTGCATTTGCATGTATTATTTGCTAGCATCCAGAGAGCATGCGAGGTGAAACTTGCTGGCAACGGCTTCTGCACTGTATGACTGGTCCACTGTGGCTTGACATGTTCCTGTTGCCAACCCTTCCATCCATAGGCATGCAAAGGACACGACGAGGTTTTTTTTTACACGGGGGATTGTTGGACTCCGGATAGGTCTCACAGCTCCCGGATTTGCAGAGGACTCTTTATTGCTTCCGGTCTGGTTGCACCGATGTTGGATTGGTTCACCAGCTCTATTTGCGCGCCAATCTGGGAGGAGGGAGCGAAAGGCGCAGCCCATCTCTAGAGCTGAGGGGGCCTCTTGAATCGGAGAGGTACGCCTTGCGGCAAACGTGCGGGGATTTAGGCTGAGAGTGCTTTACGGTATGGTTGGGTAGTTTTGTATTTTTTTGAAGGGCTGCGATTTCATGTGGTATGTCTTTCAGCTGGACATGAGAGGCGAACATGCAGCGCTGATCGTGCTTGTAAGGACTTAATACATGCAGAGCTTATCTACAAAACAACACAGGCACCGCAGCCTACTTCTCAGGACCACAGCTTCATTGCTGACATTCTCTAGCACCCGCCCTCCGGGCACTGCTGGCACTGTGTGTTTGTAGCAGACCCGCAGATAGACGAACTGTAGGCCTTGATGTTTTTGACCCCGCGGTGGGGACGTTGGGCTCTGCAGCGGCTGCGACAGCCCTTGGAAGGGAGCTCAGACATACTTCAATGAATCCTATGCTATTACGCAAATCATCAGTTATCAGTTGGGGACGACAAAGAGGTCTGTGCACGCGTGCTTCTCCTTGTGCAGTTGCGCTGGTGGATTGATTCCTTTTGACCAGTCAAACCTGAAAAGTGACGGATTCCCTTTGAGTTGGAACACCTACCTCGCTCTTAATCCAGGGGCAACAGGACAGTGGACATTCGGATGATTGAAAGCAAGTGGCGGTCAGTCCCGGGAGAACACCTTAAAGCACAATTCATCCTTGCGCTTCTGAAAGGAGCACGATTTCCACCTTTGTGTTGCTATGAATGAGGGATCCTTGATTTGAGACTGAGACATCAGTCAACTCATTGTGGTTTGCAAACATTTGTATCGAATCCAACGTGCAGCCTGCGCAGCAGCGTTCCTGCGATCCCCGCTCGCGAAGGGAAGGAACGGACGCCGATCGCGCCGAAGGTTGGGGTCGGCGTTCCATAGGAAAGACTCGATCGATCGAGGTGTGCATGCGGAGAAAGGCGTGCTTGCTTGATTGCTTGCGTGCTGATTGAGGTTGCTTTCCTAAATGTTGCCAGAAGGAAGCCTGGAAAGCCTGACAACTGCAGCGGTTTGTGATTTGTTGCATTGACTTACTTTCGAGTTTGCTGGTCCAGCTCAGCGCAATTGATACTTAAGTGTGAGATGTCGGTCAGGGGGAAGGATCAGGTTGATGGTACCCTTTGCGGTTTGTTTTGGGACAACACACTCATTGTGTCTGTTCTACACAAGAAGCTCGTGCTCTTTGTGCCTTCGTACAATGCCGCTGGAGAGGGAGAGAGAGAGAGAGAGACACAAAGAGGAGCATTTGGTTGGCTGAGTTGCCGCACAGCTGCAGAGCCCAACAGAAAGCTAGAGCTACTAGAACGAGCAGAAGAACAGTGGCAAGCAGCTCACAGAAAATATACAGCTCGCGGAAAATATGTTTGTCGAAAACTCCACAAGTGGCCTCCCTGGGGTGATGCTTCAAGTGCAAATGTGGTTGGGGAACACTCGGAACGTACAGAAAGTGGACATCACACAATATAAACATGTAAACGATGCCCGTCGAAGAATTAAAGCGTTCCACCCATGACCCTGAGTTGCAGCTCCTCTTTCTGTTGCCGTTGCGCCATTCTTCCGGCGGTGTCCCCGAAAACCAGAGGGAAAGCCCATCCTCCAAAAGATAACAGCCACTTTTGGTGGGGTCGCCAGACCTCCAACACAAAAAGGCCGTTGCACCATTTGAAGGGGTCAGCCACGCGACGAGCCACGCGACCGCTTTGGCTCAGCTTGACCGTCAGCCCAAAGGAAGGCTCTTGAACCCTTCGAGCCGCCACTACATTCCAAAGAAACAGGCGCCGAGTCAAAGTCGGACACGGGGAGGGTGAATCGGTGCTCCGGTTTCACGGCGCCACGCTGTGGTTTTTCTGTTGCTCCCGGAGTTCCGGGTCGGACTTGAGGCGCTCTTTGGGGAAGACCGCTTTTAGGGGGTAAACAACCAGTTTGGACTTTTTTCGGCCAATTCACTCAGGAAGTGGGGACCAATTCCTCCAAGTGCTTGATTTCCCTTGTGGCTTTCCCGAACAAACCATCCAAGCAGGGGTCCGATTCCTATTTTCCGAGACACCTATGTGGACCGAATGCGCACCGATCGGCACCAGATGGAACCGGCGAAAAACTGAAGTCACTCTTCGATCGCGATCGGCGGCGATGATTGGTGGGAGCGGTGGTTTATCAACACAAGCACCCGGGGTTTCACCATCCCAACTCATGCAGGATTTTGTCCGCCAACAGTAGGGTGTGGGTGAAATGGTTGAAACAGATAAGAACTCGAGGTGAGCTGGGCTATTAGTTGTTAGTTGGCGTCGTGCATTGTATCCATTGAATGGTGTTGACTTGTGGTCCCTTACTAGTCGGTCTTGAAAGGATACCCATGTGACTCGCGTTTGGCAAGACGCATGGATCACACTTTTTGTGAGCCAGCATAATGAACGACGCGAAACTTGGCAGCCACTAAATTTATGTCCTTAGTCGATGCGACAATGAGAGATTTGCGTGTGCATTGGGGAAGCACCTGCAACTTTTTAGGGCCTAGGGATTTCAGATAAACTCGCTCTTAACATTTTGCGACGGAACCTTGCTCACGACCCGCAGGGTTGCTGAGACCGGAGACAGTGTGTCCAGCAAGGCGAAATGCTAAAGCATTGCCGGCTGCAGTAACTCGCAAACGCTACGACTGACTCCTTGGATGCAAAAAAAAAAAAAACAAAAACAAAAAAAAACTCAAAAAAAAAGACTTGGCGCTGCGTCAAAGCTCGGGCGCCTTCTTGGGGCAGTCCAGAATCGTGGAGCGCGGCGCGTCGTTTTGGCCAGCCCCCGGCGTTGAGGCAGCAAGCGGTCACCCGGAAGAGGGTGCAAGTCACCTGCCGGAGAAACACACTTGGGTGTGTCTTTTTGGTGGGTATCCCTTTTTGGTTGGTTTAAGGGGAAAACAGGAGGAAGGCAGCCAATTAGAGGTTACCCTGTTTAAAGACACACACACACACTTAGACTAGTTTCGACATGAGGGAATGATCGAATCTCAGACAGACGCTTGACGCTTGTAGAACGCAAACAACCGCCTACTCCTCGGCCTAGTCTGGGCGCTGACCATTTTGCGGGGCATTATTTATTAAGCCATACATTTAAACAACTTGCCACGTCATTCGGCGGTATGCGACCTGACCCGTGATGAAGGCTCCAATCATAAGGTTCTGTTGTTATTTT